AAAAAAAATATATATATTCAATAATAATAATAATATTAATCTCAATAAAAGTTGATTCAAAATAAAAAAAAATAAAACAAACAAAACCTTCAATATATTTTGTAATAATTTTAATTTAATGAAATAAAAAATAAATTACACTTATAATTTTAATATAATGAACTATTTAATATTTTTGTCATTAATAGATTTTGATGGTTGTGATTCAATTTTAGAATTATTACTTTCATCTGAAGTACTATCTGTTTGAGTAGTATATGGAGTCACTCGGGTGGGTGCAGCCATACCTTCATCAATAAGCTTCTGTCTTTCTCGTAACATTGAAGCTTTCATATTACTCATTTGATGATAATAACAAAGTTTACACATAGTGCAAACTGTCAAACCAACCCAGCAAGACCATGAAGCCCATATACCAAACTATAAAAATGTAATTATGAAGGTATTAAAAATATAGGTATCAAGTACACTATTCATTATTTTTARCTTAGTCAATACAATATGTTAGACATATATTTTTAGACTAACATACCTAATTCAGAATTACACATTATAACAAAAGTTAACCATAAKTATATTATAGGTCTGTAGTTAATTTATCATTTAATTGTTTTTAACTTAATAACTAAGTAGACTCATTAAAAATTTCAACAAATTTTATAATACCTGAGCTACTCCAAGTTGAAAGTAAAAACCAGATGTATCGATTCCATCTTGAATATCAATAGGATTTCCAGCAGCCATTTCACACCTTAAATATATTAGTACAATTTTTATTAATATAATATGTATAATACACAATGTATTAGGTATAAAAATACTAAATTGAAATTAATAGCATATTGCCATCAAACTGAAAATTAATTAGTTAAATAAACAACCAAAGAAAATTTTCTTTCCATTTTTTTTTTTATACTTTTAAACAAACCAAAATATAGGGTACTGGCGAAAAAAACATGTTTAATAATTTTCCCAGAAAAATGAATCCTCCGGCTACAAATATTTTATTAATTTCATACATGTAATAATTTATTTTATTGAACCATAAGTAGTATAAATCCCAAATTCACAATCCGATCAAAACACTATACTATCAGTTCCAATTTGCAAATATATTCCGGTTCTGCACTCATTCTATTGAATAACATTACATKGCATTTGTGAATAACTAAATCACGGCTGTCTACAATACATCAAAGTAGATATGAATTAATTTGGTATTAAAAATTGTTAAACTTAAACTCTTTGTATGCCAATCACCATAGACTTGTTTATTTTATTTTTTACCAAGGCTTGTTTATTTAGATTAAAAAAAAATTTGGTAGCGTGGTTACTTCAATCAGTCACACAATGTGATTAAGAGTATGCAACACCCGCTACTAATTTAAAGATAGRTGGTCACCCATCAGGGTTCTAAATGACAAACCATGCCACATATATACATGTTTACAACTTACTGTATCAACCTAACTAACCCCCACAATAGTTAATTGCCAGAATATAAAAATTACTTACGATGGAAATCTTTCAATCATGTCATTACACCAAGTCATAAATCCAAATGTTATCATCAGAGCAGCATTGATTGTAAATATACACATAAGTACACATGTAATGGCATCAATAAATGTCAATAAAAAAGAACTGAAAAGTACATATTAATTATTAAACAAGTAATTTTTTGGTACATTATTAAATTATTGATTATAATTTATAACGTATAGATGTTCCTCATAAACAATTATTTTATATGTATATTTTTTTTTTTTTTGATAAATGACTATGTTTAAGTTGAAAAAGCAAAAATAACCAGTTAAATTGTATTTCACAATTGTTTTCAAAAACCCTAGTGGTGAAGGATTTGTTGTAGTTAAATATAGAAACATTAATATAAAAAATAATACTCAACTAACTTTATATTAATAAACTATTGGTACCTAACTTGAATTTTAAATTATATAAACTGCTGTATTTAAAATATAATAACAAACAAACAATATCTAGAAAAATGTAAATGTATAGATTACAAACCTGTCAGTTCCTTTATAAGCAAAAATTGACATCCTATAGGTCTGTATTGATGATATAACTAACAGCANGCATTTGTGAATAACTAAATCACGGCTGTCTACAATACATCAAAGTAGATATGAATTAATTTGGTATTAAAAATTGTTAAACTTAAACTCTTTGTATGCCAATCACCATAGACTTGTTTATTTTATTTTTTACCAAGGCTTGTTTATTTAGATTAAAAAAAAATTTGGTAGCGTGGTTACTTCAATCAGTCACACAATGTGATTAAGAGTATGCAACACCCGCTACTAATTTAAAGATAGRTGGTCACCCATCAGGGTTCTAAATGACAAACCATGCCACATATATACATGTTTACAACTTACTGTATCAACCTAACTAACCCCCACAATAGTTAATTGCCAGAATATAAAAATTACTTACGATGGAAATCTTTCAATCATGTCATTACACCAAGTCATAAATCCAAATGTTATCATCAGAGCAGCATTGATTGTAAATATACACATAAGTACACATGTAATGGCATCAATAAATGTCAATAAAAAAGAACTGAAAAGTACATATTAATTATTAAACAAGTAATTTTTTGGTACATTATTAAATTATTGATTATAATTTATAACGTATAGATGTTCCTCATAAACAATTATTTTATATGTATATTTTTTTTTTTTTTGATAAATGACTATGTTTAAGTTGAAAAAGCAAAAATAACCAGTTAAATTGTATTTCACAATTGTTTTCAAAAACCCTAGTGGTGAAGGATTTGTTGTAGTTAAATATAGAAACATTAATATAAAAAATAATACTCAACTAACTTTATATTAATAAACTATTGGTACCTAACTTGAATTTTAAATTATATAAACTGCTGTATTTAAAATATAATAACAAACAAACAATATCTAGAAAAATGTAAATGTATAGATTACAAACCTGTCAGTTCCTTTATAAGCAAAAATTGACATCCTATAGGTCTGTATTGATGATATAACTAACAGCARGACTCCAACAAAAATTGAATAGTTACAATAAGCTTGAGATGCCCAATTCACTAAAAATTGACCATTCTTCTCGAGCCATTGRCCAGAAGAGAACAAAAGACAGTGTCCTCTGTAATGTTAATGAATTAATTAACCAGTACCAACATAGGCTTTGAATTTATTACTTAAATTCATCTTGATGAAGACTCATTGGTATGATGATGCATAATGAAAGAATTGCTGCAATGGTATAACCAGCTACTTGACTCAATAATAATTTATTTGTGAGTGCCATTGGTCTTCAATTTAAGTAATCCAAACCAAAWCCAACATTAGTACCTACATATAATTGAGTAATGAGAAGGTTAAAAATATAGTATATTATSACAGTGATATTATAATTATATTGAAATTACATTTATGTACTTTTAAAAGCTGACACTTATAAATTAATAATATTTAAGACATTCAATACTTAGTTAAATTAAAAATGATTTATTTACAGTAGGTATTTACTATTTACCATTCAATAATACTACATTATTATCTTATTCTTCAATTATTATTGTTAAATGCTAATATCTGTTTCTTAACTCTTATCTGTTTTGAATGCTATTATCCACGGACTAGATAGGTATACAGCTGGACTAGTGACGACGAGGTTGGAGCACAGATTATATAAAATATAATACAATTTTATAATTTTATATAATCTGTGGTTGGAGGGTATTGGGG